GTCCCTGTTTTAAATTTAATCTCATTTTCACACAGAGCTTAAGCCAGAGGAGGCAATGCCATCTGATACCCTCCAAAGACCTTTCATCCCCATTGGAGCACATGTATTGCATGTGGCAAAAGGAGCTTGATGGCTATGTGAGGACACATGAGATATGTAGGGTGACAGTTCAGGTTGCCTTACTGTTTAGACTTATCCATTGGAGAAATCCTAAGTATTTTGTGCCTGGTTACCCAAGGGTAAATTTTACTGCATATGGTGCAAGACTTGGGATGCAGTTGCAGCAAGAGGGCTACCACTGCCTAAATCCAGGAACCACAGGACAAGCTTTAATGTGCTTGTTTTCCCAAAAATGGTTACGTTTATAGCAGGAGCCAATTGTTTAAATAATCTTAAAATGTTGTAAAGGAAAAAATTGGGTGTGAAAAAACCTTATCTAAAAAATCATCGTGGTTTATCAGGGGAATTTAAAGACCTTACTAATCAATTAGCTTGAGAAATTAAGAAATCCAGGACAAATGTAGTTGAAGATTAGCATCTTAATGAATTATTGTTGTCGCAGCCCGGTTTGGACATATCGCTCCTTTGTTGACATTTTTAATGCTTTCTGTGGATTACCAGTACATGACCAGTATATGAAAGCTTGTTAAGCCTCCACGTGCTCAACCTGGCCCTAGCTTTAATACTGGCTTAGTGCAATCCCTGCTGTTGGCACAAGCTCTGTGGGACTGGAACCTTGTGGTGCTGGGCATTGTGTTTCTACCTAATCATCATATGGACCTACTCAAGTGTGTTTTACAAGCTTAGGGCAAATTTGTGAATGCCCAATTATCTATATGTAACTTTTATAAGAGAAGCCAGTCAGGGTTTGGGTTTTTTTTTTACTTTTTTTTCTTTTTCTTCTTCTTTTCAGAATTCTGCAGTATCTTTCTGTAATTAGTGGGGAGATGCTTTCAGCCTGGCTTCCAGGTCTGGCTAGTATTTCCTTTCCTGATTAGCAGAGAAGCCTGTGCACTCGTCTTTTCAAACTACACTGCTCTTGCATCTCTCTCTCCTGGTTCCCTGTAGAGAATTTAAAGTTCAAAATGTTTTTGAATGCCTCAATCTTATTCCCATTCAGGAAAAAGATGTTACAGCAGCTTCTAGGCAGATGCAAATTCACATTTACTTTTGAAAATTCTTCACTTATTTACAGACCTTTCAGCCATGCAGTGCTGCTTCAGTTTTAAACTAGTTTTGCTGTCTGCTACGAGTGTGAGGTGAAGTTACTGATAGTGTATCTGTCTCTCCATTCCTTTCATTCAGAGAAAAACAACAGATTATGTATGAGAAACTCACTTTATAATTTGCTTTTCTGGTGTGTTTTCCTTTTCATTTGTTTGCAGTTGCAATTCTTTGGCCCTAAACTGAAACAAAGCGATTTTCCTTCCACAAAAAAAATGCTGCTGTCATTGCATCAGGCAGAAGTGGTTTAGAGTAGATGCCTGCAGTATGCATGTGCAGTTTTATCCCATCTTATTTTTAAATGGTCATCTGTGCATCCCTCTGGTTCACAATCCTTTTCCAAAAATACCTGGGGTTTATCCTTATCATATTGCCCAGCTAACTGTAAGAAATAGGCTCAAGTGGCTCAGTACAGATTAGATTTGCCTCTTATGCAACAAGGTACAAGATCCAGGGAGAAGCCAGGGACCTGCCTTGGGAAGAGCTTTGTCCTTTGTGGGCCAGGGAATCCCTTGGCAATACCCCTTACACATGTCGAGAGTATCAGGTTGCTTCCCAGCAACTACACTGGGAGAATACTGCACTGAAAAGGTATTCATTTGTTCACAGAGGCCAGGATAAACATGGTCCAGAGGTTTCTGATTCTTATCTTAAATAACTCTAAGTTTTAATTACAGGTTTTGTAGCCACATTTTTTTTAAAATTTGATTCCTTTCAAGTTTACCAGCTCTGGCATACTTGGTGAATAGGACAAACATCTACATTTGTTTCTTCAAAATAGGTCCTAACAGATTCAGGCTTTGGAAAAAACACCTTTGCCAACTTCCCAGAGGGAAATTTCACCAGTTTATGGGATTTTTCTGCCATTTTTACAAGGTTTGCTGAGACTTCTGCTGTTTTAAATTTTTTTTTTTTCCTTTCAGCCTCAGCAAACATTTCTTCTTCTCTGCCTTTCCCTCCTTTCTACCCACATTCCCAAGAATCGAGTACTTCCCAGACCTGCAGATAAAGTTAGATGTGTGTTTTTGTCAGACAGCATGTGTCTGTTCTCATGTCCGGAGCTCTCCTCCTCTTTCTCCACCTCCTCTTCCTTCTCAGTTGTCCCCATTCACCTTTGGTTACCTCATTCTGGCACCAGGAAATGTTTTGATCCTTTTCCTATCAACACCAAGAGTGGGTATTTGGTGAACTTCATTTTCACAGCATACACAGGGAGGAATTTGGATTCAACATGTTCACTTGGGAGTCTTAGGTCAAAGATGCAACCCAGGGCAAAAACTTCTTAAGGTCTTCTCATGGCTGCAGTGGCACCGTGTGAGTTAAGTTCAGAGCTTATTCTTCACCTGGTTTCTAGACACTTTATGTGTTTTGGGGATCAAAAAAAAGATTCACAGAGTCAAAAACTGGTTTTCTCCTCCCACCACGGACTGGACTCTTGTTAGTGAGTAGGGAGCTGGAAGGAGATACCATGTGAGATTGTCTGATGTGCCTCTGCAATTCCGAGGCTGCACATTGTGGAGAGTTTCTTCTCCAAATCAAAAATTGCTGCCTATACTTTATCAGGTAGCATGCTATAGAGCTTTTGCAGTACACTTCCTGCAGATATAATTACACCTGTTTCATAACTAAACCAAACATTGGACATTTGCCCAAAATATCTCCCACATGGGTAGAAAAAAGTAGCCCACAATATGTGCAGTTCTTCTCTTCAAGCCACATTAAGATTTCATGCAAAACCCTGAGCATTCATAGTGCTCAACTACTCTGCAAGACCTGGACAAAATGAAGATGCAAACTCCTTTTCATGGACAGGAGAGAACGCATTCCCAAATGAGGAACTCAGATGAGTTATATTATATCTGTCCTCCTGAGCCCTATTTTTCTGTCTGAAAGTGATGTGAGTGCCTTTCATCAGTTCTCTGCACAGTGATTTGTCCCCAGAGCATCCTGTGCCTTGTAAAGATGTGTCCAAAGCCTATCTGCCTTGTAACAGAGTGAATGCCAGCTGGTGACCAGCTCTAGAGTCTCACTTCAGTTTCCACATCCCACCAACCCTCAAAGAAAGAAGAATCCAATACTTGTTCTAATGTAAAAACTCCACCTATAATTTGAAAATATCTGTAGGTCATACCTAAAATTAGGAAAACAATGACTTAGGTCCAAAAGTGCCCCTCTTCTCATAGGACTCTGAATATCTGAAGCTTAAATAAAGGGTGGGTTAGATTTGTTATAGCTTTTTTTTTTCTTTTTTAATCGACTATTCAGTGTTGGTCTTCATTATTTTTTTTTTATCCTTTTGAAAGCTTTTAGAGCCTCCTGCATAACCGCCTCTGCCCCATTCAGTGCTGAATGGACAGTGCGCTGATCTTTTTCTCGGTGGGTAATGGATTTGGGTTGATTGCTTGACACAGGGACAATAGGGGGGTAAACAATTGCCTTCGCACCCGTGCAGCTCCCCATCTGTTGAGTGCGTGCGCCTTCAGAGGCAGCCGGGCAGGGACAGATGAATGCGCCAGCCGAGCCTGATGTTAATGACATCAGTCATACAAGCAGAACATGTGGCGCAATAAATCAAAAACTAATTGAACTTTTGGTTGATTATATTGCCGTCCCACTGCCTGCTCCAAGCACGGCGCAGTTCCCTGGGACAATGCCCCCCGCCCGCAAAGGCTTTGCTGCCCCTGGACAGCAGGAGCCTGCCCTGGGAGGTGACAAGTGACAACAGCTTCTCTTTGCTCACTGCTTTCCTGAAACAGCGACACCTTCCACTTGACCAAAATGCTTCCAGGCTCAGGACGTCTATTTGACCAATATTTATTATTTCAAATAAGAAACGTTCATCAATATGACAGTGACAGCCCATGTTCACTGGCACTTTCCATCTGGGACTGTTGGTGGCAGACATCTATAGGAGAGGACAGCACTTGTTTTTGTGTTAATTAGACACACACGTGGTAGTAATGAAAGCTATTCATTAGACTGATATAATTTAATATCATTATTCACACTTGAAAGTGCTCCAACTGCATCAGTTGTTGGAGCCTGCAAGCCAGAATTTTCTGTCTTGGGTGTCCATGGCAGCATTAAGTCATCAAAAGTTGAGGGGGCTGATATTTATAGAGATGCAAAGGAACAATTTCTGATGGGAGTATTAAGAAATTAAAAGCTTTGGCAAGAAGACCCTTTATTGAAGTCCCTAAATATGGAATTAGGCCCCAGAGCCATCAAGTCAGGAACCCATCTATGACTGAGCCACCTTTCCTCCCCTTGCAGACGTGTAGGGGGCATGGAGAATCTACGCGCATCTGCCCTTCTTAGACATTTGCATTTGTAATTTTATGCTTTTTGAATTTTACTTTGAAAAACCCAGGATTCCAGTGTTTGTTTATGAAATGAAAAGGTAAAGCACAAAATGCTTTTCTTAACACACCTAGAATCATCTCCTCATTATATGTAAGGAGCAAATCTTTATGGTAAATGTGTTAAAGTACACACTCAACCAAATTTATTTAAAGTATCTTTGCAGTACTTCTGTAAACATTTGCCAATAGATTAGACTTTAATTATTAGCTATTAATTGCAGAGGACTCTCCACACTGGTAAAAGGAAATGTAAAATAAAATGCTCCTATCTTAGTAGAGGCTTAAGTAAGAGCTAAATTAAATCTTTGTGTTAATATTATTCATAGAAAGGCAGATGGGAGCAGAAAATGTTGCAATGAAGAATATGGAATGAGATGAGATCACAGCATCAGTCTGTCCTTTGTAGATCTGGACAATGATCACAGAGCCAGATTGGATTAGTGAAACCTATTTACCAGAAGTTCAGAGCGGTTGCATGAAGCTGAAAGGCAGTCAGTAGGGAGAGGCGGAAAATGCACCAGATTTACAGCTGCAGCGATGAAAATTTAGAAGTTTTCACCACTGTGATTTCTTCCAAATGTGAGTACATCAAAATCTAACAACAGCTACGGTGTTGTCCTTTAGAGGGATGGGATGTTTAGCAGCGGGGAAATATTTGAGGAGAGCAGCTCATCTGTTCTGCTGTGCCGTGCTCTGCCTGCAGCCCAGCCCTCGCTGCTGCTTTCTCGACCTAATCCGTGCAGGTGCTTCAATGTTGTGGCTCTGTAAAATCTTTGCTTTGGCAAAATTGGGAGATCTGGAAGCGGTGTTGCTGTACCTATGAGGTAACTGCTAAAGTGACAGCTTGCAACTGTGTGGCTTTTCTGTGTAATAGAAAAGAGAATGAAGTTCTGCGAGCAGTTAGAAGTGGGTGAAGTGCATGAATGTTGAATTTAAGTCTGCTGGCTCAATAAGTGGAACATTTCCAAAGCCATGCCCTGGAAATGAATGCATGATTAACATTAATTGCTTCTAATGAAGAGTAAGAACCGGACAAAGCCCAGCCTGCATTTGATTGAACAAATTAGTTTAAACTCAATGGCTGCATATTTCAGCAACAAGAAAGCAGGGAAAAGCAGGGAAAACAAATTGTGGGGCCAGATCAGATCTTTACTTGCAAGCTGCGAGCATGAGCTCTCAGCTGCTTAATTTTGGAATATAAGTGGAAATGACAAAGTGAACCATCACTGTAATTGTATTTGTTGCCCAAAATCTGGGCTGAGCATACAAACATCCTTTTGCAGGCAAATCCACATACATCATCTGCAAGGATTTGTTCCTCTCTTCCTTCTCCAGTGCTCTGCAGAAGTTTGTGTTTGCAGGGACAGCCTGGCAGCCCCAGTGTTTGCATTGCTGCCATTGTATTCCCACGCAAGTGGGTCACTTCTGGCTACCTCTGTGATTCACCCTTCTTTCAATGCCTATTCAAGTAATTGCATGTTTGCTGGTGCTGTGACTTCCCTTTCATGCCTTGCCTTTCTTCAGCCCCTGTAAGCCTTTTGCCACTCATTCTGGCAGACAACAGGGGTGAGGGATCATAGGTACTCTGAAAGTAGGTAAATTTATTACTGTTAGGCACGTTTATGTGTTGTTCCTTTTGCACTAGCCTGGGTAGCAGCTATGACAGCACAAGGGCACTTGCTTCTGGTAGAAATCTCTTAAAAAACTGTACTCCTTACATTGTGTGGTAAAATACCTAAAACACCAGAGAGAAGAAGGTAATTCCTTGCATCACTAAACTATTCTGTAGTTGAGGGTTTTGCTTATGAGCAATTAGTTTAGTCCTCCCACACTGAAATTCCAGAAGTAAAAGTGATGGAAGCAGCTTCAAAAACAACTTACAGTCTATTCCTAGCTTTAAAAAAAACCAAACCACCTTCATTATGTTTGTCTGGTTTTCATCCCCCACTCACCATGCTTTAAAATACAAAATGTGTCCTGCAGGAGAAGACAGTAAGGATCCCTGAGGATATCACACTGTGCAGAGCTGTAATCACACTGACAGCTTAGCACACTCTAGGCAGGCAGATAACTTACTTGTGACAAGCTCAGTGTGGAAGTGCCCTGTGCTGCAACAGGATGCTCACAAGGACCTTCCCATTTTCCTGTCCTGTTGCACAGGCCAGAATTTCCTCTCCAGTGGGCTCCTAATGCTCAGGACTTATATCCTCACTGGGGTGTGGAGGGATGGCTGTTAGACACACACGTGCTGTCTAGGAAGAGTGACTTTGGTCTCGCTGCCAGCTCTGCTTGCACCAGAGCCCTGGAAAGCCCAGTCACTTGTTATTCCTGCCATCTGAGGAGTTTGGCTGCAGTAACGAGCAGCCTTGGATGACCTCCAGCTGCTTCCACTACTCCAAAACTCTGCATGCAGTAATATACAGCAGCTATAAGCACTGCAAGCTAAATGTGTGCCAACAAGGTAAAGGAAAGCTTACCTGGGAAGTAGAAGTCACCCATCATCCTGTAACAAACCTTCCTGGCTCTTCAAAGCCTTTGGATTATACATGGAGCCTGAATAGGAAACCCCCATTCACGTGCCTTGCCCCCAGGGTCAGCCTTTAGAATTGGAGTTAATTCTCCACATTTGGCAGCTTTCTGCAAGCCTGTTTCTGTCACTGGTGGCTAAATCCTGTAGTTCTGGTAGCCTGCAGGGTAAGTAAGATATGAAGAGAGGGAGAGCTGGGAGTATCACAGAGTCTTGCAGGCCAGTTTTAAGTCTAAGTCAAACAACAAGAGTTTAAAGGTCCTTCACTCAGTCCAGTAAAACCATCACCCAAAACCAATTGCTTCAGTCCAGACAAAAGCTTGGCTCTTGGCCCTGGCATCCTGTGTGTCTATTGGCCAGTGGTTCTATGATTTTGGTGTCTTCGTGGGTCTAAGAAATAAAAGTGAGAAACAGACTTTAAGCAAAATGTCCCAAGCTAAAGAACAGAACAGGTCATTTTGAGGATTGAAAAAGAAAAGATTAGGCTTAGTGCAAACATTGTGCTTTGGACATCATGCAGTAAAAGTGAAATAATGTCATGAGGGAGTTTGAGCTTATTGATAAAGGCCCTAGAATTTATCTAGTTAAAATTGATAAATTTTAACTAGATAAAATCATAATAGTCTCCAAGTTAATGTATACACTACTGATTTCCTACTGAAATGCTGTCAGGTGGGAGGCCAGGTCAAAACTGAGAAAGGAGAAGGAGTGTTCCCCCTGGAAGCCAATGGGAGAGGTGCAGAAACTTGGGAAAGGCTGTGGCCCAGTGGCCACAGATTTCTGTTTTGTATAGCTAGAGCATGTTCTCTGAGATCACATCAAAAGGGGCTTTCTTTTGGATTGTTTCAGCTGGAATCTTCCTCAAACCCTTTATTCTTCCCCCTCTTCCCACCATGCCCCCAGTGAGTTCTTACAGAGGCGTATGTCTGCCTCCACAGCATCCTGACCACGTTCCTGTTCTTTTTGCAGCATGTAGTCCTGCCCGAAGACGAGCCAAAGCTACGCAGCACATCCTAACAAAGAGTGTAAGAAAAATCTCCTTTCCTTTCCCTATTTTTTTTTTTATTTTTTTACATTCCAGTTGGTTATGCATACCCTCAAAAGGGCTGTGGGTAAATGGGAAGCAGATCTTCCAGGGTAAAGCAGAGCATCCGTGTCTGATGCAGGGAGCAGGGTGGGAAACAGGAGGGAGAGTTTCTGTAAAGCTGCAGTTTCTTTACAAAAGTACTTTGAAACAAAAAAACAAAATATGGTCTTGCCATGCAGAGCCAGTCAAAATGAACATAGTGGCTTATCAACACTGTCCATCTGAGGGAATCACAGACTTATTTATTGTCCATACAGCCTTCACAATAAGTCCAGAGAGACGTGCAGGAATGAAAAGTCAGCAAATCATACCAAATCATGTCGGTGTTAATCAAGTAATAATAATAATAATCATGTTAATCAAGCAGCCAGTATCCTAGGGAATTTGGGCTAAAAACACCAAGCAATGGACTGTAACTTTGACCCTAAAAGTTAGCACTGAGAAGCCCAGGGAGAATGTTTGTCCCCTGATCCCAGCAGTGCTTGCCTGTCCTTGCCTCAGCCTTGGTGCAGAGGGCACAGAGGAAGCTTTACCCACTCCCTGTAGACAAGGTACCCCCCAAATTAAAATAACTGAACATTTTTCATGCTCTGAGTAAATGTCTTGCAAGTTCAGGTGCTTTCACACATGGGTGTGAGGTTTCTTGTCTTCAGAGACAGTTTTCTGTCCTTAAATCCACTTGACCCATTCACAACCCCTTCCACAATCCTTTTAGCTGATTTGCAGGAATGAGTCTCTTCTGCTCATCAAAACACTTCTTACAAGTTTGAGACTCTTCTGCTGAAGCATTTCTTCTCACCACAGACCTGTCACTTCTCTAGCACTTTGCTGAAGTATTTTGCTCCCTTTTTCAATGCCCCTTCCTACTTCCCAGATGCATCGTCATTTTCAGAGAGCCTTTTCTTTGTATTCCTGATTCCCTGATCTCCACACAGAGCTGCAGGTCTTCCTGTTTACCACACTTACCTATGCACTGGGAAAAAACCTCATCACATTCACTCCCACCCACTCTTTTGGTTATTAAAGCAGATCACAGGATCCCAAAATGTCACAGGACACCTGAAGTGGTCCCCAGGAAGAGCCAGTAACATGTCTGTCATTTTTTGGGTAGAAACTATGCATTTAAATATTTTCCCAAATTGTGACAGTCTCGGTTTGGTTGGTTTTGTCCCATAGCTCAGGCTGAGATTTCAAAATTACTCTTCATTCCAAAGGAAGATGAGTCAGACTGCTGAAGTGTTATTCAAACTTGTTGAATGTTACACAGTGAGGTATTTTGAGATACCCCACTTTTATTTGTTAAACCTTTGATATATTTTTTTTTCCCATGCAATATAAAAAACAGCAGAAAAGTCCAAACCAAAAGTCAACTATTCTGACTTAATGAAACAAAATGCTCAGATAATTTATCTCCTTTTTTTTTTTTTTTTTTGGACAATATTTCTCATTGAACTATTCAGCTGAAAAATTTCAGCTGGCGTATATCAAAATCAAGGGAAACTCTATGTCTGTTATCTTGCTCCAAATCTCAGTAGATAGTTGTTTCTACTAAATGGAAGCATCTAATATTTAATTTGGATTGCATCAGCTGCTGTGACACCACTGTACTCATAAAGGCCTCAGAAAATAAGATAAGAAAGTCCCTGTTTTGTTGCTGTATTTTAAGAGGATTGGGGTTTATTTTCCTTTGGGGCTTTCCTGACCCCAATTAAGGACGTCCTTTGATTGGCTCTTAGTCATGATGCAGGCAGCATCATATTAGCAGTGGGAACACCAAGCCTGAGGAATGGTCTGCAGCTCCAGCTACAAAAGCAAGGATGGCTCTCAAACCAAAATGACTGGCACAGTCAGCTCTTAGATTTTCCCCTTCTTCAGTGGGATGCAGCTGCTCACAGCTCGTAAGCAAGCACTGAACTAATTGCACATACTGGAATAAACATGCCTGTGAGGAAGCTGTGATTGCCAATTTCTAGACCCACAGAGGAGTCGCAGAATGATTGTTTATTTTTCACTTTTACATCTGCACCTGCAGTCAGAACTGTAAAAATGCCTCAGCCAACATAAAATCTTCTGCTCTGGTGATTGCAGTGGATGCACAACTTTAATCCTCAGCAAGGACAAAAATAGCAACCAACGTGGACATCTGCCAGACCTTTTTTTTTCACAGCAGAAATACTCAAGCAGTGTAGCATTAAGTGATTTAACATTCAAATTACTGACTGTGGGGGGTAACTTCCATCACATACAAGAACTCATCCCAAAAGCGTGATAATGACTGTGGAAGGGTGACAGAAAGGAGGAAGCACCTTTTTTTTTTTTCAGCTGAGCATTCCACCAATATGTATATTTGCAGTTCCTATTGCCCTGTTATTTCCAGTGATAGTAGATCCTTCCCTTTTCTTCTTCTAGCCCCAAAATCCCTTGGGTAGAACTGTCTGGACACCAGTACCTGTCTACTTTGCAATAAAGTAGAAAATACCCCTGGGCATGCTTGAGCTGCCACATTAAAAATTAGCTCAGCATTAAGCCATCAAAATAACTTAACTCTACAGATCTGGAATTTTCTCCACTAACAGGCACATTGTTGTTCAGACTCTAACTTTCAGAGTTTTATCCAAAGCCAGATATTTAATTGTCACCTTTTCTGGAAAGCTGTTGGTTGGCAGTAGGATTTTAAGTCCAGGATGGTAGGAACAGCCTCTGTGACCATCCTGTGTCCTCTTAACACAGCTAATTCCATCAGTGGGTATGTCAGGTCTCAGTGCTCTCATGTGCATGGCAAAGTCCATAAAAAGAGAGTTTGCTGAGCTCTGATTTCAGAGTTGCTGTCCTGCAAACAGACTGGGCTGGTCAAAGGATTTACAGGTTCTAAAAAGAGTAAGTTTTTAGAGAGCAGTTTGCTAATTCTGCATAGTTTAGCTGACTCTTCCATCTGCACAGATTTAAATTTCCTGGTATGTCTAGAAAAGAAAAGTGACTCCCAGTTGATCCTTCTGCCTTACCCTAGGTACCCTAGAGAAATGTCAGCTCCACTTTAGATCAAAATCCAGCTACAGCAGGTTTAGTTTCCTGACCTAGATAAGTCTTTACATATTACAGTAACGGGTGAGGTAGCCAAAGTCACTGTGAAATCTTGAATTAGGAGATAAGGAGCTCACAAAGTGTGCACAATCAAATGCTGCAAAGATGTTCACTGAAAATATATTACAGAGATTGCACTGTTGTCTCCAGCTGTAATGGAAAATGGCACTGCAACTTATTTATACAGATTCTGCTGCTTGAAGACATTTTGGCACTACTGACATCATATGTAACAAGGAATCTCAAAAACATATACAATGTGCCTATATAATTGTTGCTATTAATCGGGATAAAAATCCTTTCCCCAGACTGTATTTCATCCTGTGAGACACGTAGGCAGAATGTTAAGTTTCAAGCCCATGGTGGTTTACACTGATCAAATAAGCCACTTTCAGGATTAGAGGAGACTGCAGCCAGCATCCTACTTACCAAAAATGCTCTTTTCATGACAATGCAAAATAAGTGACCTCAGGTGTCTCAGTAGCAGAGAGTTGGTGACATTTTCTGTCACACACCAGCAAAGACTGAGTGTGACCAAGAGGACGTTTTTTCCAGAGATGTTGGGAAAAGCTGAGCTTTGTGTCCTTGCAAGCTGGAAGAGCTCAGTTCACATGAGGCAGACTCCAAGGGCTGTCATTAGGGACCTCTGCCAGCCACAGTCTGGTCACACTAGTCCTGAAGACAGGTGTGGCCACTGGTGCCACTGTGGTGAAGTGGGTGCTGCCCTGGTGAGCAGCTTGTAAGGCACATGTAGACACAGGAGCCTGCAGCCTGCAAGGAGCTGCTGCAGAGGGATGTGGAGGTGCTGGAACTGCTCCAGGGGCAGCAGGGAGGGAGCCAATGCCAACAGCTTAAGTAGCAACAGGAGGCCTCTCACAACCAGCATCACCCTCCTTCTGAAACATCAGAGCAACCCTGAGGCTCAGCTCCTTTGACAGCTCCAAATTTGTGATCAGCAGAGCTGGGACCCAGCCGCAGCCTCCTTTAGCATCTGCTTGTCTTCAAGGACACCAGCAGTCCCTTTAAGTGAACACTGGGCATGTCTTTAAGTAGTTTACAGCACATGGAGTGTGTTAGGCTGTGTGTCAAAACCCACAGAAATAGGGGGAAACACCTATTCAGCCTTGGGTTAGGCTTTGGTTGCCTTACCTGCCTTTTCCAGAAGTATTTTTGCCTATTGTTGGGCAGTTTCCTGCTCCTCATCCTACTAGTCAGTAGGATTTAGGTAATGTGGCCCTGTCCAGACTCCTGAGGGTACATGGAGACAAAAGAATTAAAAGTGGTTAGGTTGGGATTTTTCTTCTTTCCTGTTTTGGAAAACATGGGTTTGCATGTGTTGTTATGCCTGTGTAAAAAAATCATATACACAGAGTATTGTGGATTAACAGCAAACTGAATTAAAACTTAATTAGAGGAAATGGGCAATTTGGTGTGAGGGGACATGTTTGAATAGGGTCTTGTTTTTATCTTGAGTGTGTGTTAGGAGGCAGAACAATAGACAGATTTAAGGCTTTTCCTATGCCAATAGCTGGCTGGTCAGTTGTTGAGACAAAATAACTATATTTATATTTAAAACATGTAGACAGCAACTACCAGCCATCAGTTAGATGCAACTAGCTGCTTTTCTCATAATCTTCCAACATAAGTAAGTCTAATAGGAAATAGTCTGAATAGTTGCCACATGTCTTGTTTCCTTGCTGGTTTGGATCTTTACCCTGTTTAAGTGGTTCTCTGTATGACAGCAGCAAGTCTTTAGGGAAGAATGAAAAAAGCCCAACAAAGTATGAAACACTCTGTCCCTGCTGTTGGAACTTTGATCTTCATGAGAAAACTCTTTCCAGACCATCCTGGATAACAGTCCTGATGAATTCATTTCTTTGAGGTGTATCCCTGTTTTTTCAAACTCACTCTGGCCTTCCCAGTTGCCTGTGGCAGTAGAGTGAGTGCCATGGCTTAGTCATAATTGATTAGAAAATAACTTGATTTTGTTCATGCTTGTTTTCAGGGACTGTTGGAGATACCAGGGGGGCTGATGCTCAAAGTTGCAGCTGTCACTGAGCTTGTCTGTATGAGCTAATGTTTGGAAAAATTAATCTCTAGGAGCACAATTCCTCTCTGCCCCATATTCTCTGCAGTCATTTATGAGGTACAATATGTAATTAAGTACAAAAGACAGGAGAGACTATAAGGAAACAGCATTTGTCATTCACACTGCATGAGTCTGACTGATTGCCCAAGATGTGATGCAATAAGAAAATAAATCTGAGCTGTCTTGGAGGCATATCCTATTCAGAGAGCTTGGAAAGGAGCACATTTCAGTCTCCTGAGTCAGAATACAGAAAGGTGCAACTAAATAGCTGGGTCCCAGAAAGACCCAGCAGGATTTTCCCCTACTTCCATACACCGCACAGAAGCTGGAGCCGAACAAAATCCCACAAATCCCACAGTCCTCACCTGAGAAAATCCCCTGTGGATGACAGCAAAGCAGTAGGAAGAACAAGCAGCCTTTCAGCTCCCCCGTGACCTCGACAGACCACCTAATCCCCAGGGCCGGGTGTAACGGGGTGGTTTGCCTCTCCCTGTAGGTGGTTGCCATATCGGACCGCCGGCCCCACCAGGGTGACCTCCTGCACGTGCTGTACGAGGCCAGGGGCGAGGAGGAGGCACGGGGAGTGGGCTGCCTGCAGGGTGCCCAGCGTGGAGCCTGCCTCGCCAAGGGCACTGCCCAGCACGGTAAGTCCGGAATTAAAGCCCCTGATTCCTCCCTGGTAGTGATGCCTTGAGTGGGCTGACCTAGAACGGAGACTAGACAGTTAAAGGATAAAGTAGGTATTTATTGAAAGGCCTTAATGGATACACCTTGGGCAGTGCAAGAGCCTGGCCAGGGCTACACTCAAGATGGACCCAAAATTGTCACAAAATGGATGACTGGTCGCGAGGTCTCACACTTTTATGAGCTTTGGTCCATTTGCATATTTGGGTTAATTGTCCAATTACAGCCTCAGGTTATGAAGTTACATCCTCCTTGTTTTCTCTTTTCCACTGTTTATACTTTGGGGGCCTGGAGCTTATAATCCTTGTCCTTGATCTCAAGCTGGAAAAGGATTGTTTTGTCTTCCTACCCTGTGAAGAGAACTCACAAATACCTAATATGAAGCTCAGAGTTACACACCAAAGCAGCACAGAATCTGGAAAATATGAAAGCTAAAACTTAGGCATCATTCCCCAACATTTTTAGATATTGTAGTCTTCCAGTTTGCAGCAAAGCAGGCACTTTATTATGTTCCTGGAGGATAATTCCATGCTTAAAATATCCAGTGGAATTAATGAGATAATGACCGTGGCGTTGCTCAATTTATTCAGTCATAAACACTCCCTGACAATATTTTTGAGATGATAAATTGTAAGTTACTGAGTTTGCCTGAGTCATCTTCTTATATAAGATCCCTGTTCAATTGCTTAGAATTAGCCAGAAAATAAACACTTGGGATGAATTTTCAGGTTCTGGACAACAGCCACAGACCTGATTTTTTGGCAACTAAAGCTTGTTCAGCATATTTGCGAGAAACCGTGAAGGAAAAATAGAGCTTGCCAATACAAAACCAAGGAGATGAGTAAACATAAACAGAGTGGCCATTCAGCTCCTCTAGCACTGGTGTGTTATGTTTGGAAGACTGAAGCTGGAACAGGGTTGTGCAGTTTCACATGGGATGGCCTTTTAATCAAAAGCACATCTTTTGCACTCCTATGAAGAATCACCCAGATGCAGTCAAGTCATATGCCTTTAAAGAAATCCCACATGGCATGTTTATCCAAGAGGAATTGGACATTTGGATGTTCAAAGGTGCAAAATCTCTAGAGCAGGTCCATGAAGGTGTATGTTCCTCACATCACCAGTCTGCAACCACACTGCACATAAGCCATCCCATCAAGAACACAAACCAGACAAGAGCAGGGCCTGGGAAACTGGAAAGGAAGAAACCGAGCCTGGGACCATAGGAAAAGATCTCAAAAAGATCTCAAGACTAGAGCCAAGATGTGGCTGAAAAAAAGAACTGAAGCTCCAGGACCGGAGCAGGGACAGGAAGAGGAGTGACTGGGACTGGCTACAGGGTAAAGGATGGCAGAGAGGCAGACAGGAGGGACTGCTGGTCTCTGCTGTTAGGGGAGATGAGAGGTGAACCATGGCAGATAGGTGCAAACAAGAGACAAGCTGTAGGAATCTGAAAAGAAGAGCAGAAAAAGGGTGAACAGGTCTCATAGGGGGAGAAAGGGAAATGAGTAGTCAGAACTTGGAAATTAAGTTTGAATTAGAACAAAAACCAAACAAGCAAACAAAAGAACACAGATGAGGCCATTAGCATGTTTGTTGCTACCATCACAAATCCTGCAAAAATAGCAAAGCTGAAGGACAGTCCACTCCAGCATGTGAGAAGGCACTACTGGAATTCACACTGCATCCAGCCACCACTGCCCTGAGGAGAGCAACTACAAACCTGAAGCCATAAGGACTTCCTTTTGCTTAGATGTTTTGCTAAAAGTTTGCAAGAGCATTTTCTGTATCTAATAAGAGGGACGGGCTGAAGAGAAGAATCAGGCAAAATCAGAGAAAATAAAACAGGCATTAGCTGAAGCAGAGATGATCCACTTGCTGAATTCTGTTAGTACCTAATATGCAAGATGAGAGGAGGTAATTGCATTAACTTTGACGTGAGGGATACAGTAAGGTACCTAATGGAATTACTGGAGGGGGGTGGAGCGGGAAGCTGGTTAGGATATTTATTGTAGTCAAATATTGCCCCCAGAAGGAGGAGACAGTTCCAACTGCTAAGTCATGCTGGAGACAGCTCTGTAAGCAGCACCCCGGCTATTTCTGTATTTGCTGTCATTATTTATATTCCACTGGTCACAGCAGTAAAGAGGTCCACATTCCCACAGCCAAATAGGAGGATTTGGCCTCATGAAAAAGTCTGGCATCCCTCACTCATTTATTTTCTTGGCACAGTGAACAGGAATGTCAATGAGCATTTATCCATGGATAAGTTATTGGATGAGCAATTACTTGAAACTGAAGGGTAGCTTTCAGTGTTGGGGACAGCAGAGGGAGAGATGTCACTCAGCCAGAGGCAAAAAGGTGGAAATCCCTCCCTGTGACAGGGTAGACACAGCATACATCTCTTCCCAGGTTAAAATAACACTCCAGAGCAATAGAAAGGAGAGAATTACCTCCTAGGCAGGACAAACCTGCAGTGGGGGCTGAGGTGCAACATTTGGGCTCCTTTCATGTAGAGGTATGTAAGTGTTTACAGAAGGGGCGAGGTCTGCTAAGCTTGGTCTGCTAAGGGCAGCTCATCACCTTATTTGAAAAGTCCAGGAGCAAGCTGAGAGACTTTCCAGAGTGACTTAAGCAGTTCCACAATCACTTATTTTGACATCACAATAGATGATCACTCTGCTCTTTTGGCTATAATCAAATCTGGTGGGACTATAACCTGTATTTGGTTCTCTGTCCATATCTGGGTTTTACTGCACAGAAGGAAGTTTTTCATACAAGCTGTGCCAATGGGATAATTGCCCCTAATATCATGCTTCTTATGCTTTGCAGCAGGAATTACTGAAAAAGAGTCATCCAAGTCCCATAATCATCTGTTGGATGGAAAATCTTTGGTAAGCAAATAGAGCCAGACCAACTACCAATGCGTCTTAAAACCTTGTACCTGTCAGCATGTCCCACAGTAACATCATGTCAGTCTGTTGCAGCACCTGCAGATTTCATTTCAGATTGAAACATAATTCATGCCATAGGATCCCTTAGCATAGGACAGAAAACAGCCCTCAGGAGCCAGGAAGAGTGGTGGGACAGAAACAGGCAGGCTCCTGTTCTGGATGCTCAGGCACCTGCAAGAGCTGGAAGAAATTAGCGTCTCGTCTCTCAGGGAATTTCACAAATTGGGGAAAAAAAAAAAATTCTTAAGTAGAACAAGCATCAAACAATTTGTTTTCTGCAGAATGCCAACCTGACACAAAAATCTCCAAAGTCAAAAACATCAATAAAGAGTTGATGAGAAAATTATCATACAACCCCCCAAATGTGCTCTCTAATAGACAGAAAAAATATTTTGGTTAAAAATTACCTTTACTAAAATATTCTCCCTCCCTTTGTCTTATGATGCCCCCCTAATTTTCAAAGCCCCTACATTTAATAAAAAATAACTTTTTCTAAGAGAAAAAAAAATAAATTTAATAGTTTCTGGCCAGCACCGGACCATGCTGTTGAAACTTTATGGTTTCAGAGGCTGTTTTGGATGGCTGAAGCATGTTTGCTAGCTGATAGCTCGGCTACACTTAAGAAAAATGACAGTACAATATTAAGGATGGTTAAAATGTTATTCAGTGTAATGAATCTAATTGAACCTACCAATAATTAACATAGTTAAATTTCAAAAGATGCTTGCAAAAGTGATTTCAAACATCTCTAAGTCCTAGGATACTAGAAAAACACACCTAAATGTACCCAGTCTCAGATTCATCCTAGGAGAAATAGAAAGTTTAAGACCAGTTATGCTAGTGACAATAATATGAACATTTTTTTCAGGATCGCCAGTAAAATCAATGTGTGCTTATTGCCTGAAATAATGAGATCACCTCATAACTTTTGACTTTTTTTTTCTATTTCTGGGCAACTCACTCTTTAACTTACCATCTTGGAGGATGTGCTATTCTCAGAGACCTGTTTATGGGAAAGCGTGACTCAGTTCTGGCAGGCGATTTATGATCAAATAAGACAAGGAGGAAGTGGATGCTCAGGCACTTGTGGGGCCATGGCAGAACTGGAGCATAACCAGGGTGCCCCCACACCACAGAGCAGCATAAAACAAAACAGGGAAACATCTCTGAGTGCTCAAGGAGCTGTGCTGGCTGAGACAGCTGCTTCCCAGGCAGCTGCAGAGGTGGGGAGCTGCAAGAGGCAGGCTGCTTGCTCTGCACAAAACCTCACTGCCTCAGGAAACTAAATGCAAAAACCAGGGAATAAAAAGTTCTGCAAGTGTCCCTTCTTTGATGAAAGGTGTAACTCTTTCTCCTACAAGCCCTGTGCTGAGCTCAGTGAGAATATTCACGTGAGCAGCTGGTAATTGTGTGGGTGAGAGTTGGGCAGTCAAATCCTTAACCTGCTTTCTCTTGTTAAGAGACTTGCAGCACTTATTTGTTTTCTTAAAAGAGCCTCTTTCCTCAGATGAACTGGTGTCCCCACTCATCAGTGGCATTTCCTAATGATGTGCTTTATCCTCCCACAGATTCCTCCATCTCCAGTTGCCCATATCACAGTGAAAGCTGTGGCTGTCACGGGCTCGCCCACACGCGACCGCACTTCTACGGAAGAGTAAGTCCCTTCCCACCCTCCAGCCGTGCCTCTTGTTTCCCAAAGGAAGGAAGAGACTGGTAAAGGTTATGCTGAATTTATTATCAGCCATGGCCATTTATACAGCTACCCCTGTGCCCATTACAGCTCTACTTTATCACTAGAAAAAAAAATCATAATTTAAAATAAAAGTATTTTCCCCCTAAGAAGTCTGTAATATTTGCCCTGAAGTGTAATTAGAAAAGGTAATTAATTGAAGAAAAAAAATGTATGTATTAAAGTCTAATTAAGGAACAGTCTGAGTGCAGTACAAATGCACTCATCACCAGGCAGTTAACCCAGACACGGATCTGGGTGGGATTTGAGGTGCCACCATTGTCACCTTATTGAGGGTAACTCATTGTCACAGTGTCCTCCACACTCCATAGACAGAGAGGTAAGTTCCCCTCCGCCAGTGGAGCTCACTGCTGCGTGGTCCCTGGGGCTTTGGTGGGAGGGCCCAGCTCTCTCCTTGGGCAATCCCCCCGCTCCTTGCTGGGTGGCAATGGCTAGAGAGGATGCACTTAGAGTGGTTCCACCTGCAGCCCAACCCCTTGTGTGAGTGTCCCCTCTGACAGGGAGGGATCAAGGGCACCAAGCTGTGTGGTGGCAGCTGCAGCATCCCAGACCCACAGAGCCCTTGCTCATTCCAGACTTGCTGATCCCAGGGCTGAGCCAGGCATGGGCACACCTTTTCAGCCAGGCAGCTCTTGGTTCTGAGTAAGGAAGCAGGGAAGGAGGGCCAGGGAGAAGCATTCTGTACACATCTCGTGTTTTATTTGTTAGCCACAGGCAGCGCTGGAGGAAGACAACAGAGTATGACCTGGCCCTGCCACCAGCAGCAGAAGCTTCCCTACCACTGACAGGAGGCAACCTGTGTGGGACACCCAGCCTCCTGAGGAAGATGTGGATGAAGCACAAGAAGAAGTCAGAGTACCTAGGGGCAACAAACAGTGCCTTTGAGGCGGACTGATAAGGCTCAGCATCCCTTGGAAAGGCAGAAGGTCCTTTAGCAGGACAAGGTGCTTTAGGATCAATGAGGGAACAGACACAGCACAGCTCATCCAGGAAAATTCTATCTTTTTTATTATTTGATGCCATTTCCTCAGAACAGTGGGAAAAAGGCTAACAAAGGTAAAAACAGTGAATATGATGCAACTCAATGGCATTGCCTTGTTGCATTACACTAAAATCCCAACTATCCCACTAGATTTGCATCTTGACTTGATGCTGAGACTACTGCTGACCCATTCACCATTTTCTATGTCCTGTTTGAATGAGCTCGGACTTGCAGCAAGAGAAGCCTACAAAGAGGTTTGTGTATTCCTGCAAGGCAACAGATTGATTACAGAGTGCCATTAAATCCCAGGGACCTATTTGTTGTGCACCACTGCTTGTCATCTTTCCCCGCTCATATCATGAGATAAAAATCTCATCTTGCGATATGCTTGGCTGAATGACACATGCCAAACAACTCTTTTCCTTCAGTTCTGGTGAAAAGAGAGGAGTAAAAGAAGCAAAAATTCTAAAACAATGGGCCAGAACTGAGCAAGTTTGCAAACATATGTACCAAACTTGGCTATGTGAAAAGTGTGTTTTAAGGTGTTCTGCCAGATCAAACTATGAGCAATAGGGTAACCTCGAGGGATACTTTCTGCCATAGAACCTGCTTATAAGTGAAATGGTAGTCAGCAATTTACCCTCTACCCATGTGGTAGAGGATATTACATTAAGTGCACAAAATACTAGGAGGAAGGAAAGTATGTAAATGGTGCAACTGGGTGACTAAGTATGAGATATTTGCATGTAAGAGACCTGTGCTTATGAACAGGTGGATTTAATGGAATTTGCTTTTAATTTTTTTTTAATTTTTTCTTATTTTTTTTCAATTTAGAAATTGCTGGTCAGGTCCCCTTTGGTTTTTCTCTCAAAAAAGAACAAATAAGTTTTATAAAAAAAGTTTTCACCGCTGTTATGGGCCATATTATATTAGTCATGAGCAGTACTTGCCTTCTGTGAGTGCTCTCCTAGTTACTATAAAAAACCACTGGTTTCCCTAAATACAAACTTTAAATATAAAGTTGGAGGAGGCGTATCTCCTGTTGTTTATAGTAATGATGACCTCTAATCTAACCGCCAGTGCACCAAAGCGTGAATTAAAAATAAAGGTCTGACTCTGTGACAGCAGCAGAGGGAAGGAGCTCCCATCTGAAACTTGCTTGCCTGCAGCCAGTGCAGTGAAATGCACTGAGATGCCATCACAGACAGTGCCATGGTAGTGAAGAGCAGCTGGCCCTGGTCAAGAGACCACCTGGATGGGAGGGAAAGACAGCCATGACTTCTGGCTTTGAGTGGAGCAGCACACAGGAGAGGTTTTGCAGCTTCACAGCCTGAGCAATCAAAGTTCATGGGATGGGAAAACAAATGGAGCGGGCCAGTAGCTTTACATGAAATACCTCTGTCAGCCCTCCTGTTCAGCTGTCCATCATTGCTTCAGTCACAGGCTCCTCCTTCAGAGGTGCTCAGCTGGTCAGAGGACAACTTTGCACCTCAAAACCACACAGACTCTCCCTCCTCATTACCAAAGGTAAAAGTCCTTCTCTGGCCCAGCAGCCTGAGACAGGGATGATCTGCTTTCCAGTTTTTATTTCTTGCTCCTGGGGAAGAAGGAGAATACAGTTCCTTATGAACAATGTGCTGGCGCTGGTGACCCAGTATCGACCATGTGTTCTCTGCCCTGGCATGAGAGCAATGCTAACACCCAGTGAAGGCTGCACACCTGAACAGTTCCCTGTGAGAGGCTTCTCACAGGGCTCCAGCCCACCTTTAAATTAGAGCCTGGCACACTGATCCTGAGCAATAGTCTGAGCACCCTCACCCTGCCAACATCAGGTCCTCTATGACTGAACCAAGCTGGAGTCAAGAGTTTCCTGAAACACTTTCTACAAATATCACTAACCACACTTCAGCCCCCTCCTCAGCCTATAGAACTCCTGCCAGAAACCCATGCATGTATTTTTACACATATAAGTAAACCTAGTGAATTCAGTGGGACTGCTCCCTTGCATAGCAATACATACATTCAAAGAGCAAGGAGAAGACCAACCACCGCTTCTCTTCTTTGGTCTCATTTCCTAAACAAAGGAAAAATAATTATGAGGGACAAACACTGGGAAAAGTCCATTTACTGAATTAGGTGTAATTAAGAGAGTGAGAATTTGTGGTACCTGCCCTTGTAGATAACACGGCCCAAGTACTGAAACACAGTCCAGGGCAACAAGAGTTTCGCTTGCTGAGGAAGTTGCATTGTAGTAGTAGTAGTATTTAATTTGTTAATTAATAGCTTTGAGCAGTATGAGGATGGAGGCAGAGATGATTAATATTTCTTCTTAATAATTGCTGTATCTTGACATATGTATTTATGCTTTTCTTATTTATTTATTTATTTATAATTTGGATCTACAAGAGAAGGAACTATTTACAAGAAGCATATTTAATTTCCTTGTATTCCAGGAACTTCTGTGGACATTTTTGTATTGTAGTAGATATTTATTTTATTGATTTAAAAGTATGTTCTATTCTTAAAAAAAAAAAGCAAACAACAGAATAAACAAGTAGCATGTGGTTACATACAGGTCTCAGAGACTTAAGAGTTTTTGGGAAGCATTTAGTAGTGAGTAAAGGAGGATGTATGGTACTGAAAAAAGGTGAACCCCTGCTAGCAATGAACATGAACTTTATTCTCCACAGCCTGAAAGTGTATTTGTGAGCAGCTCCAGTATTGCACAGGTGATAGAACCATTTTGATATCAGATGTGCAGAGAAAAACCCTGATACTGTCAGCAGTCAGAAATCAGATACACCTATACACACCTGACCTCAAGCACATCCCAGACACAACATTTGCATCATCTCTCTCCCATCAAACAAGTCCCAAGACAGAGACTCCTAAACGGGATTTAAGGCTCTGGTAGAGAATAAAGCCAACTGAGTTGTCAGCAAAGTCACTGAACTTACCTTGAACACAATGCTGACTTTGGAGAGCCTCTGCTGAACCACAGCCCAGCCTGAGATGGATGGCACAGGACCCAAGGAACCCAGCCTAGGGAAGGTGACTCAGGACTGCAAGTGGAAAGAATTCAGGATACAAGGAAAAAAGACATATGGTGTGGGCATGGTTCACTAACCCAGACTTCATAGCTCTCCACTAGAGGATGACTTGCTCCCTGCCTGTCACACTGCCCATAGTCACATAGCTCTGGTGAAAAGTTGGCACATTTCTGGCTCTTCCATTACAGACACCATCTACGTTTAGTATGAGCAGCCAGGGAGTGTCCTCTTGGTGAGTGTCCACACCACAGGAGCTGGCACAGGTTTTTTCCAGGACCTCTGCTAGGAACTCATCTGTCACTACCTGAACTTTAGCTGTGCACTAAAAATACCAGCATGAGTATGGAAGAGGATGTGGATGTGCAATGTGTATTCCAGATGAAGTTGTACAGAAAGATGCATTAGGTTGACTCCAGCACACCCTCAGAAAAATGTGAAACAGTGATTACAAAAATAAGTGAACTTTACCATTTTTCCACCAAAGACAGAAGTTGTTAACCATGCATTCAAAAGTATTGACTCTGGTACTACCAGACACAAGCCTGTTGTCATAATTTATAACATCTCTGAGAAGATGCATTTCTCAGATATGTTTCATGTCAATTTATAATTTGGTTTTCCCCAGAACTAGAGACTGACTAGGGCACTGACAGAAGGAGAGTGCATGATGACAGTCCATCCCACTTACAGTAATTTATAATTAATTTCCCCCAAAAAAAGTTTTCTAATTTCTGCTCACCACTTCAAAACCATCTTTGTGATAGAGCTACTCACTAAAATATGCATAATTATTTTGCATACCACTTTATTTAAATAAACTGTCGTGAATTTAGGCTAGGCTAATATATAAAATAATTCCTACTGATGCATGAAAAAAACCACCTCAGATATGCCTTGCCTGTCTTTCTTCCCCTTTTGCTCTCACTTTACAGGTCCTGTAGCAAACAGGGTTGCCAGAAGAGTTGATCACAGACACATCACTGTTTGAGGGAATACCACACACTTTATACAGAAAATATTTAAACTCAAACATTGACATCAGCAGAATAATTTTACTTCTGTAAATTACCCAGCCAGAAAAATTGCAGTGTCAGAAATTGCACACACAAAAATTGAAACAAGCCAGATTTCTCAGATGAGACCCCTGATAAGAAATTCTACAAACAATATAGATGTCAAATAGACACAATTATCTATGCAAAGTTTTTAGAATCTCAGCATTAACTCTAGAGATGATTCACGAGTGAGCAGCTAAATCCTAAACCTTCGAGGTGAGTAATGATGTTACTCTGGGTAGTCCTAATCTTCCCCCTTATGATTACCTCCTGTGAGTATATCATCAATGTACTGGTAAACTTTCACTCCCTATTCCACTGGTATCTTTTCCAATTATTTTGCCAACACATGGTGAGCTAAGGTGGGTAAATGCTTGTACCCCTGAGGGAGCCCTGTAAAGGTATATGGTTGCCCCCATACACAAAGGCAAACTGACGCTGATCCCTGCAATGGCACCATACTAAACATGTTTTTAATATCAGTAGTGGTCATGACCCTGCATGCCTGCTCCTGGATGGTGGCTGTGAGCTCAGTGATGTTTGGTGCAACTGCTGTTAAGGGGTCTGTGTCAGCATTGAGGCAGCTGTAGTCTACAGCTAATCTCCACTCTACCATTTGGTTTTCACACTGGCCATACTGGGGAACTGGAAAATGAGTGAGTGAGGATAACAATTTCCCATTTTTTCAAGTCCTCTAGTCCGGGAGGTCCAGTCCTCCCAGGCCCCCAAGGGCAGTAGATAGGGTTTGGTATTTTTTAAGTTAGAAGGGGGAACATCTGGGGCCATCTGCAACAGCCCAGCTTGGTGGTTGGTGGTTCCAAAGGACCACTGGCACCCCAGATTGTCATGCCAGGTTCTCCCTTTCAAAACATCCAGTCCCAGTAAACTTAAAGGTTTAAACTTAAAGGTTGCCATGTTAACAGTTATGGTAGCTTCCTCTCCCAGCAACATAAGCCTAATTGCAGTGGTAGTTACTGGCTCTGGCACATTCACTACAAGCAAGAGCCTTTGGGATGGGACAGCCCCTCAAGCAGAGCCATCTTGTTTAATCAGGGCTGACATCTGAGCCACAGTGTCCACAAAAAATGTTAGTAATTTCTTCTTGGGTCCTGGAGCTGCCATCAGTAGATGTCTCCATTTCCATTATCAGTGAGCTGTCCAACATAAATCAAGCTGCTCCTCCCCTTCACACCTAAAGGGAATGGAGCTTTCAGTTTCCCTGCTTTGTTTAGCACGCTTTCTCCCCCACCTATGTCGATTAAAGGAGGTGTGCTCAGGCTCTTCTACATTTCTCTGTCCTTGGTTTCTCAGACATTTTGTCCAGCCACTGTAATACCACCTCTTCTAACTTGTCCAGGGGAAAACATCCATTAGTTTTCAGAGATTCTCTTCTGCCAACCTTGTCACCAAAGTGCCTCTTGTGAGTGGGCAGGCGGTCCCTCCACACCTGACTGGCACAGGGAAGAATCCTATGTGAAATCCTCAGAATAAATCAGGTGGTCCAGAAAGAAAGACATAGAGCAGCAATTCTGAGGTACTGCTGTGATCACCTTGGCATGCCTTTTCCAGCTCCTGGAGCTGTAGGTTCCTTCACTCTCTCAACCCTAACCCTAAGCCTAACCTTGATGGCAATTTGACACTGAGCCAGAGGTCCTCATTGCCAGAGGTGGCACTGACTAAAGTGTGGAGCTGGCAATGGTGGCGCCCTGCCCTGATGCCCTTGTAACACTTTTTTGACTGTCAATGTGCCTGGAACTGTAGGCTCTGTAGATCTCTGAAGCCTAAACCTAACCCTCTGGGCACCAGGGCTGAGGTCCCACGGGTGGTCCACATTAGAAAGGTGTAGGAGCAACAATACTGGGGCCCTGCTGGGATCACCTTGACATGCCCCTTCCAGCCCCAGTGTTCCTGGAGCTGTAGGCTCTTTGACTCTCTCAACTCTAATCTTAAGCTACATGTTACTCAAAACTTCTTTTAAGTGGCAGAACTCTTATTTAAATATATGGGCACACAAATCACTAATATAAACACTGAAGTATTTAGCAGGAAAAAAAGAATTGAATATTTGATTCAATTAGATGAATTAAATTCTGAGGCCCAGAAAACCTCAGGAGTTTAGCTCAAAGGGGGACAATTCAGGATGATATGGAAGCAGTGTGCATGCCATCAGGTTGGGTCCCCACTAAAAGAGACACTATAATTAACGGCCTTTAATTAATAAGCCCTGTGGTGTAGTACAGGGCCTCAGAGCTGGCCCAAAGGTGGCAGATCAATTTA